CCCCTTTTCATTTCTGATTTTGTTAATTTGGATGTTCACATTCTGCCATTTGGTGAGTTTGGATAAAGGTTTGTCTGTCTTGTTGATTTTCTCAAAGAACCAACTCTTTGTTACATTAATTCTTTGTATTGTTTTCCTAGTTTCTGCATTATTGATTTCAGCCCTCAATTTGATTACTTCCTGGCATCTACTCCTCCTGGGCGAGTTTGCTTCTTTGTGTTCTAGAGCTTTCAATAGTGCTGTTAATTCTCTAGTGTGACTATTCTCTAGTTTCTTCATGTGAGCACTTAGTGCTATGAACTTTCCTCTTGGCACTGCTTTCAAGGTGTCCCATTAAGTTTGGGTATGTTGTGTCTTCATTCTCATTGAATTCTAGGAAGTCTTCAATTTCTTGTTTGACCCAGGAGTGGTGCAATTGTGCATTATTCACTTTCCATGAGTTTGTCGGTTTTCAAGCAGCATATTCTTATTACCCCAGAATTCTGTGAGTCAGGAGGCCAAGCAGAGCCCATCTGGGTTCTTAGCAAAGATCTTGTGAGACTGTGATGACGGTGCCAGCCAGGCAATGATCTGCCTTCTTCCCACCTGGGTACTTATTGGCAGCATTAGTTCTTGAAGTTTTAGGAGAAGCTTCAATTTTTTACTGCATACTCAAGAAGCCACACTGAATCCTAAAGGTCACCAGATAATCCTTGTATATATGTCAAGATATTCTTAAAGTTCAGTTACCAGAAAATGACTCGTTCACAATATGTCTTCTGAAGAATTTCTCAAATTTGAAGAAGTGCCAACTCTCAGAACTGGTGAGGATCTCTTTTTTCTTCCTTCTTTCCTTCTCTCTCTCTCTCTCTCTCTCTCTCTCTCTCTCTCTCTCTCTCTCTCTCTCTCTCTCTCTCTCTCTCTCTCTCTCTCTCTAATTATGAGACTTTGAGACTCTTCCTTGAGTGAAACAAATATCTCTTTCAAGTTTAGGTGCATACTGTTAACATCTTTATACTTTTGATTTTGCTTACCTGCTAACCTGGTGGTAGGATATCTAATTTACCATAGATGGATGGCAGTGTTTCTGGAAGGATGCTGCAGAGATTTGAAGAAAATATGCCTCATGAAGTATTCCTCTTCCTGCTTCTTTTAGTCTCTCTACATGATTAACGGGAGCCTTAATTGCATGCTCACCTTTATACTCACTATAGTTGGTGTGTACCAATGGGAAAATTAAGTTCATGCATAGTGATGAGAGTGCAAATGAGCGCTGATGAAAGACTACTAGGATCCTCGGGTTTTAACTGTCCGTCCTTTTGCTGAATTCTCTTTAAACAATAGTAACATTATAAAGAGGACCAACTCAGAAATCAACTTACAGACATTTTACCAATGGTAAGGACATTTTATGATTCATAATTGGATAGAGTTACTGTTTAGATTGTTTTGAGATTTAAAAATCATGCTTTAATAGTTTTACTTCCCCGCCCGCTTCTTCTGTGTGACCTGTGGTAGCTGAGGAAGTGGGTCTGATTGTCAAAATGAGTGATCACATGGGCAGTGTCCAGCTGTGGTCTTTACTAGATACATAAGAAACAGTATTACCATCAGCCATCATCTAAAGATGTTTCCGTATCTGGTATTTGAAGAATCACAAATATACAAGGCTATTGCAGCAATTAATATTTATGTATTCGCTTAAAGCAAAGAGCATTAAATGATCATCTAAAATGAAGCCTAGGGAAGCCTCTGGTTCCTCCTCAGAGAATGATGTACTGTGACCGTGACTAGGTGGCACTCAACACTCAGCATCTGGGCTCTATTACATTCTTAAATTCACAACTGGGTATTTTAAACTTAAAACCAGTAAATATCATAAAACACATTTCAATACGATATAAGTTGTTGACACTGAAAAATTTAGTTCTATATAATTTTCATGCCATAAAATGTTCTTTCAAAAGTAGTGTTTAAAGATGTAAAACAAGCAATAGTTTCCCCCAGTGTCTTCACCTTTATTAAAGCCTTTTAAAATGAGGAGTAGGGCTGCAGCCTCGTGGTAGAGTGCTTGCCTGCCACAAGGCCCTTGGGTTCAATCCTCAAGTACTAAAGTAGACAAGAGTTTTTTTTTGTTTGGTTTTTGTCTTTTGTTTTGGGTTTTTTTTATGCTTCAGGTTTATTAAAACTTCTTTTTCCAATCATGGAAGAAATCTGAAATTGCTGGTTTGTGTATTTACTAGTAAAACAGTTATTCTGTAGTTTTTTCTCATAATCATAAGGTGCTTTATGTCACTATACATTTTTTCATCACAGTCTCATGCCCACTGGTATGTAGCTATATACTCTAGGTTATACAATAATCATTAGTAAAGGATATACTAGCTAACTATGAAGTTTGTTTTAGGCATTATGGTAGTGGTTTGCATTCGATGTATATGTGTTGCTGAGCAGACTATACTAAATGACAGTCCTAGAGGTTGGCACACATTTTCTTTAAAGGACCAGATGGTACTTTGAACTTTGTGGGTCATTTGGGCTATTACTGTTGCTCAATTCTGCTGCTGTAGCCATAGATACAAATCTGCATGGCTGTGTTTTGATAAAATTTTATTTATAGACACTGAAAATTTAAGTTACTCATAATTTTCATATGTCATGAAATATGCATCTTTTGACATTTTTTAAAAGCACATAAAGATGTAAAAACAAGCAGTAGATTGAATTTAGTTTGAGTCTCAAATTTGCTGAACACTGTCCTGGTGGTTGATTGTTCTGAACTAAGTTTCTAATGTGAATTAAAGCTGAAGAATTATCTGAAACTTTTTAAAGGTCTAGGACTTATACTGAATGATTTTAAATCCAACCTCTTTCCTGAGGGGATTCCACAAATAACTTACTTTGTTGTAAATCACTTCTTTTCCTTGATGGCATAGCGGGATTTTGATGTCACTAAGCCATTTTTTTCTAATGGGCAAGAAGAAGTTAATAGTTCTTAACAGTGAATGTGTGTAGGTGTGTATGTGTGTGTATTGGATGTGTCTATTCAGTTAGTGTTAAGTACCTACTTTCTCAAGGTATTTGTGTGGCAGAACGATAAATTTCCCATTGATGTACTCTAACCTTGACAGACTATAGTCATATAAAATCTAAACACATTTTGGTTCAGAAGGGCTGAATAGAAGCTAAAGATAGTAAAAAGAGAATGCAGAAAAGAACCAGAAGCAGGAAAGTTCAGAAACAGAGTAGAGGGTGCTGAACATGAACCTGTTAGAGATGCACATATGGGGTCAGTGCAGGAGAGCACAGCAAAGGAGCAGTAATTCCAGCCCTTGGCTGAGTGTCCATTTCTACACCCACGGCCATGCAAAACTAGACTTTGCAGAAAGGCAGACCCTGACGTTATTTGCATGGTAAAGTGCATTTACGGAAAGCTGACTTGAAGAGTGGTTTCTGCTCTAACTTCAGCCCGTTCACCAAGTATAATTTCCAGCTGCTCCTGGATAATTATGTAAGCGTGTTGCTCAGTCTGTCCTGGCCAGTGTATAGAGAGGGGTTGACGATTTGTCATTTCTGACGTGCTGAGGCTTACAGTAACACTCCTGCTTTGGTGACTTTTGACTGGTGAAAACTGGACAGACTGCTTAGGAAGGCATGGTTGGTTTCAGAGCCAAGGGCAGGAGCAGATCTGGTTTGAATCCTACCTAATCCTAATCCTAATGTTCAAACCTGGAGAGTTATCTAATTTCCCTATAAAATAAGGACACTTCACAGTTTCATAGAGAAGATTGAATCAACTAAACTTAGAAAACTGTTGTTACCTAGTTTCTAAAGTGGTAGTTCTTAACATGTGGGTCTCCACTGCTTTGGGCTTCGAATGACCCTTTCACATGCTGGCTGTGGTGCTGCACACCTTTAATCTTACACTTCTGAGGCAGAGGCAGGAGGATCTCTGTGAGTTCAAGGCCAGCCTGGTCTACATAGCCAGTTGCAAGCCAGCCAGAGTTATATGGTAAGACCCTGCCTCAAACAAAACAAAACAGAAAAACAAACATAATAATAAGAATGCATTTATATGATTACATGCTAAGCAATGAGCTGAATATATATGTAAATATAAAAATCATGTAGCCTTCATAACAGTCATTTGATATAGCTACCATTTTAATTTCCTTTTTACAGAATGAGAATCTGATGCTTTGACAATTAAATGAGTTGCCCTGGGCCCCTTTAGCTGGGAATTGATGGGGGTGAAAGGAGAGCCCAGGAAGTCTGACTCTAGACCCTCGAGTGAGCTTTGTAGCTGTTCTGGAGGTGGCTGTTCCTTGCCCTTCCCTCTGCTGCAGTGTCTAGTAAGTGGGCACTGAACCAGTGTCTGTGTCCCACCTCTGCCACCTGTCTCCCGAGAGTTAGAGGAAACCATGATGACTTTCTCCAGCCATAGAAGGCAGCTACCTCCTAGAACACACCAAGAAAGCTTTTAAATCCTTGATGGGGGCAATTGCAAATTCAGATTTCCAGAATATTTTAATTTTGACATTGCCTTAAACTTTATTGTGATTTGTCCTTCATACCATAGACTACATTGAATTCTGATGAGCTGTGATTTTGAAGATTTGAAACTGCCCTCCTGACAGTCTAGTATTTTTTTTCACAACACAGATCCCCCACCTGACATTATCCATCAATGTGTTTACTTGCTGTACCCCACTTCCCAGTATATGTGCTGCAGTAGATTGAGGCATCTCGTCTGCTCAGTACATCACAGGGGTTCAAAAGTATCTCACAGGCACGAGTGATTAGAATGTTCATCTATGGCCAGCAAGATGGCTCAGCAGATAAACTTGATGATCTGAGTTCTGTCCCCAACAGAACTGGTGGAAGGAGAGAGCTGACTTTGACGAATTAACCTCTGATCTCCGCACATGCTGTTGGGTCCCCGTTTAAAAAAATATAAAAAAGGAAAAATGTTTAATTTGGGTAAATTATGGCAGTCACTGAAATGCTGTTTTTCATTGTAGCATGGATTAGAAGAACAAGAAAGACTCCGCCTACTATGGAGGTAAGAATACATAGAAAGTATTCAAAGAGTTTTATGCTTGTAATGCTGTGTTTCTCAGCTAAACAGTTGTACTACTAAAGATACATAAATTCTTGGGAAAATATAACACATCTCAGAGTATTAGTTTTACTCTGTAAGAAATAATTCTCAAGTATTTCTAGTAGAATAATATAACTATAATATATTAGCATTGCATAGTACTAAAATATTGAATGATAAAAATACATGCATGTTTTCATCATGTATTCTTATAATAATTTTCTTTATTCTTAAGAATTTCATGCATGCATTCAATGAAATATGACTATATACACTTTTCCATTTCTCTCCACCGTCTACCCCATATCTCCCATCATGCCCTCTCTCCACTTAATGTGTCTTTTTGTTTTTCTTCTTTCTTTTTCGATCGTCCATTGAGTCCCTTTAGCACAGCCACTTTGTGCATGGACATGGAGCCAGCCACACAATTGCACAGGAACTTACCCTCAAAAGAGAGTGATTCCCCTCCCCCGGCATCCCTCAGGTGCCAATGGCATCTCAGCACGGGCTGGGGCCTGGTGAGCACACTGCCCATCCATACATGCTGGGGTTTTGGCTAGTTTGACCTTGTGAAGATAACCACAGCTTCTGTGATTTCCTGAGTGCCGTTAGCCACGTCATGTCCAGAAGATGGCATTGTAAAGCACTTCTCCCCATCCCTTTCATCCTGCTCTTCCATGGCCTTCCCTGAGCCTTGGAGTTGGCAGGTGTTGATCAACCTCTTGTTCTCAGCACCTAACAAAATGTATGTCTCTGCCCTGACTAAAGCCACTGTGAAAAGAATCTTTGCCAAGGCTGAGAGCAGCCCGGGTATGTAAGTATAAATGTGAATATTTCAGAAGACAATTTGGCTACAGGACTGCAATACATGAACATCTTGTGGAATTTTTCAAAAATATGAAAACACTTTCTCAAGGGGAAAAAAATTTCTAAGCCAATTGCCTGTAATACTATCCACTCAGAAGGCTGAAGCAGGAGGATGGCTAGTTTGAGGCCACCCTGAGAGCCTTGGGGAGACCAGTCTTTAGATTTTTAGATTAGTATGTTTGAAGCCTCACAGTTTGTTATAAACTCAGATACTGTGACATTACTATTTCTCTCAGGGAACTGTTTCTAGTACAGCTCTTGGGGTGTTCTTCTGGCCAACCTCCACCAGAAGCTTGCTGAGTCCATCCCTGGCCTCCTTATACCTGCCCTGATCTGTAGAGGAGCTCCTGGGACTCTGTGGGGTCTAATGCCATCCACAGACAGACATACCTGTTTATATATAATTCCTCTTACAAGGTTCATTAGAATCCTAGGATGCCTCGCCAAACTCCTTCCTTCTTTTTTTTTTTTTTTTTTTTTTTTTTTCTGAGATGGTTTCTCTGTATCGCCCTGGCTGACCTGGAACTCCCTCTGTAGAGCAAGCTAGCCTCAACCTCAGTGATCTGCCCGCCTCTGCCTCCTGATTGCTGGAATTAAAGGTATGTGCTGCCACCACCTGGCTGTCTCCTCAACTTCTTAACTCGTAGATTTAATCACTCCTTTCTTGAGTACCCTAGCTTGGACACCTTAATACGCCCTTAGAATTTGGCATTCAAGTTTATTGTTTCATCTATTCATCTTTCTGATGGCATCATAAACAAAGTAATTCAGGAATTAAGCTTTACTCATTTTTGCATAATAAGCACCTGATGCAGGCAGGGCTTGATTTGTTATTGTGAGGTTGGTTTTTATAGACAGATTTGAGTGATTAGCTTGAGTTTCTATCCACCAATTTCAGATGAACCTTGTAAACTGAACGTATTTCCACATTGCTTGCTCTGTTTTCAAGGAGGTTCACATTCCGTTACAGTCCATCAGTGTGGTTCGGCACCTGTTCTGCAGTGTAGTAGGAATTGAGCTCTTTCACAACACTAATGAAGTAGACTTCCTAATCCTTACTTTATTAGAAGCTATTAGTAGCAAATGTTTAAAAAATATTGTTCTTTTCAGACTAGCAGAAGAGTTGGAAGCACAATAAATGAGCTTTTCTGTTTGAAAAGTGGCCATGCTTTTTGCTAATTGTTGATAAAATGCATGATGATTCAGTGATATGTTTACAGACAGTAAAAAAGAGAGGCACAATATTAGTGGTTTGCCTACTTTATTTTCAGTATATGCTTCATGAAAGGGAAAAGGAAGTTCGAAACACCAATAAAGAAAAGCCAGTCAAAACTGCTTGGAAATGGTGCCGCTGTAGTTGAGGATGTGTAGATGCACTCATCATGGCTTTGGATCCTTGCTACACCATGGTCTTGGCTCTGGGCTGGAAGTTCCAAAGACTCATTTTGTCCAATGGTCATGGAATTGATACGTGAACTCCATGTACTGGTTTACAATGGGAAACTATCAAAGCACAGAGCAGAAGCTTGGTTAGTATTCAAATGAGGGGAAGTAGGTAAAATTAACATTAATTGTGTCATGTTTGTTTAATGTTGCTTATCGACTCCACCTCACAACTGAGATAGTCTGACCCACAGAGGTGCAAATGGTTGAGAGAACTGCATGTTGTTACCAATCTGTCTCTTCATACAAGCAGAACCTTGTGGATGGTTAAGCTTCCACTCTTGGGGAAAGTATTTGTCTGAATTGTCCACCAGCATTTGTCCCTTGGGTCTCCTTTTCTCTCCACCACCCCCATTCTGAATGACATCCCTCTTTTATTATTACAGCTGTTGGACTATAGTCAGACGCTGCCAGCCCGGCAGGCTTTCATTGGTTTCACCTTCCCACGCCTCTGCTCTGGCCTGTAATGTGTCGATTTTGCAGCTTAACATTCAGAGAAGAATATTGCTTCTGAATTCTCGATACCTATTTCAGTGTTTTCTCCAAGTGACTGACATTGACGGAGTTCTCTGTGCTCAGTGTTATTAGGATCATTCTATAAGTTGCCAAAATAAAATGTCTAACGGTTGACATTTTGCGTATATAGCCCTACTTTCCTATTGACTTAAATTCCAAAGGTGGACTATGTGTTCTTTTGAAAGGTAGACACCCCTCTTAGCTTAAACATTGTATTTTCAGGAATATGGTAGAAATTTATAAGGAAATTGCAGCATGTTTACACACTGGGATAGCATCATTAATTAAAAATGAGTGAAGTAGAGCTGATGTCTGAACATGGGTAAACCTCAAAAAACATGGTATTGCATACAAAGAGCAAATCACAGAAGATTCCATACTGTATGTCATTCATTTAAACTTGAAAGTAGGGGAAGAATAATGGGCATTCAGTTACACACGAGAGTTCACTTTTACAAGTCTGGTGGAAATGACAGCAACAGGATGTATTTGAAAAGGCAAAGATGGCAGCTATGTTTTGGAAGCTAGAAAGCATGCAGACAAGTGGTAACAGCTTTAACAAAACTGTCAGGAAGGAAAGCCTAGAAGTAACCCAGCTTAAACACAGAATTCAACATACTCAATAGCAGGCAGTATCTTGAAACTCTGAATGTGGGTTACCTGGTGCTAAAAACTAGGAATTGATTAGAAACATTTTAGACATATTTAGATGCCAGCCAGTTAGGAAAAGAAACAAAAAAGTTAGATATTGCAATTTTCTTTTATCAAAGTCATCACTGATTCAGGAAGTCATCTCCAGATACTAAAATTATTGGTTCCTATTCTTTGGAATAATAGGTCTTCATGGCATGAAATCATAGCCCCATGAATTACTTATTAATTATAAAAAGGGAAATAGAGCTTCATAATAGACAAATCTGGCAGGCAAAACCCTAGGCAGATGGTCAAATGTTTTACTATGCCATAGAAAACTGATGTTAGGACTGCCTCCTTGTTTGAGGCATAGAATGAATCATCATCCATAAAATAATCTTCCAAAATGCATAACCCTAATATAGTCATGAGGAAATGACCAGAAAACCTAAATTGGGAAACATTCCATCAAACATCAGACCTGTCATATCAGTGTCATGAATAACTAAGGTAGGTAAACCTCACATCTCAATTGTGTAGGACTTTGCTATGAAGGACAGTTAGAGATAACTGGTAAAGTACTAGAAAATAACATGTGTCCGTGCTAAATCTGCAGAAAAGGATGCTGTTAGATTCTCTTCATGATAGTGTGCGGCCAGCTGGAAAGTAAGTTCATTCTTGTGAAAGAGAAAACAGTCTAGGCAGTGAAGTAATGTTTACTCGACAAATCCAAGGAAAAGAGAACATCCTGAAAACTAAGCAGTTGGATAGCAAGGTGGTTCATCGGGTAAAAGTGCTTGCCATGCAAGCCTTCCAACCTGAGTTCAGTTCCCAGATCCTAAGGTTGAAGGAAGGATGGGCTTCTGAATGTTGTCTAAGACCTCACACACTCTGTGGCGCATGCGTACACACGCTCATACACAAAGGATAACAATAATAGCAACAATCAGGGTAATGGCAATGATATTGATGAATACATTAAAAAGAAATGCTGAAAACAGTGATTAAATGAATATGAGACCCTAATTTTCTCACTCCTGAGATCCTAGGACCAAAATAAGCAGGCCTTCATGCCCCAGGCAAGGTACTAAGAGATAACTTTCTCAGTTTCTGAGCAGCAGTAAACAACCTAAAAGCTCAGTAAAGGAAGTTGAGTCAATAACCTCATAATGGATCTGCCCATCAGATTTACATAGAAATACTCAACATCTGGGGAGTGTCTAAGATGAAAGACAGAAGCCTACATAAATAAGTAAATAATCAGAAAAGGTAACATGGACAAAGCTACCTTACTGCTGTCCTCAGAGAAATGAAATAGGACCAAAGTACTGCTTAAGAGAAGTACAGTCTCATCACACAAATGGTTTGGAGAAAAATATAATAAATGACATATTTAATGTGGGGGCAAGAAAGGCAGGGAGCAAATGTTTCCCAAAATGGTGAAATGCATAGAAGATGTGATACATCAGAACATGGCAAATGAGCCTTGTTTGTAAGTCAGTATATGCAAAATAGAATTCATTCATTAGCTCCAAAAAAAAAATTGTATCTTAGGGTTTCTACTGCTGTGAAGAGACACCAAGGCCACAGCAACTCTTATAAGGGAAAACATTTAATTGAGTCAGGCTTATAGTTTCAGGGGGTGGTCCATTAGGATGATGGGACATGGCCACGTGCAGACAGACATGGTGCTGGAAAAATAGCTGAGAGTCCTGTATCTAGTAGGTAACAGGAAGTGATCTGAGACACTGGGCAGTATCTTGAGCATATGTCAGACCTCAAAGTCCACCTCCACAGTGGCACACTTTCTCCAACAAGACCACGCCTATGGGGCTGGAGAGAATGGCTCAGAGGTTAAGAGTACTCACTGGCTGTTCTTCTAGATGGTCCTGAGTTCAATTCCCAGCAACCACATGGTAGCTCACAGCCATCTGTGATGAGATATGGTGCCTTCTTCTGGTGTGCAGGCATACATGCAGGCAAAACACTGCATACATAATAATTAAATAAATCTTTGAGAAAAAAGACCAAGCCTACTCCAATAAGGCCACACCTCTTAAAACTGCCACTCCCTTTGGGGGCCATTTCCTTTCAAACCACCACACATGGGTAGAAAGAGAAGTAATCCTAACATGCTGTACAAACCACTAGTTAAAAGAATTCATGCAGAATAATGTAAACATTTAATATTGAGCTGTAACTGGTGGCTGTTGGAAAACAAGGTTGGGATAACTTCATTTCCGATTATAAGGAGTTAATGCACAAAGCTTAAACTGAAGAACAAAGGAATGATGATAAGATGTTACATGGCTGCTGCAGAATGCCTAAGAGCAGAGCCTGCCTTGTAGCTCCCACGCAGTTCTTTGAATCTTTGGTTTGGGCTGTGCTGTGGCCATAAGTGGCAGGTGAACTCTGAGTATAGAGCCCTGTGCTAGCGTGCTTTGCCAGCATACTTGAGCCCTGGCTTTCATCCCCAGGCCTGCAAACAACACCCAGGATCTAGTTAAATGTATGAAGTAGCTGCTATGAGGGAGGGGGTCATAGTATTTTTCATGACAAATGTTTTTGTGACATTAGTCCTACAAACTTTGAATTTAAAAAAAAAAAGAATTTGTTTCATTTTGGGAGACAGGGTCTCACACTGTAGCCCAGGTTGATCCTGAACCCACACCGGTTTTCTTGTCTCAGTCTCCTGATTGCTAAGGTTTTAGAGGCATGCAACAGTATAGACAGCTTAAGCTTTGTAAGCCAAACCATTCTGTAGTAGACTTGGTAGTTACTGCAAAATGCATCTGATTGTGGTTGTATCCAATAAAACTTTATTTACAAAAACAGTAGGCCATTGAAACCAGTTTGCCAATGCTGTCTGCCCGTACCGTTGGGCACACAGAAGCCTCCTATCCTGTATTCAGGTTCAATAGCTTTAAGGAAATCAGTTTCCATATTCTGTCAGCCTTTCATTTAAAAGTCTGCGTAAGAACTCCTAGCCTGCTGCTTGCCATCTGACCTCCTCTAAAATTACTATTAGAAGAGCGAATCTCACCTGAAGGAGAGTCCCTCAAGAGTGAAGTAGAGACAGAGCTTCACAAGAAATGGTCTGAGGAGCAACACAGTTTTTCTTCAGGACACAGACTTTCGGCCAGTCTTCAAGACAATAGCTGCTCTGTCCACCTAGCTAGCTAGCTAGCCACTTAGCATTCTAAAGTTAAATTCACAAGTGTGGAGGTTGTCATGGGGATGCATACACATTCTTTTTGAATTTTAAAATTAACCGAGACTTTTTCTGACATAGAGAGAGAGAGTAAGTCAGATTTGGCTGATCGGGTTTGACAGTCAGGACTAGCTTTGCCAATTAAGTTATATGGTTATATCTCCCATAAATTGAAGAAGCTAAACTGAAGCTCTGAGGCTTAAAACATATTTAAAGTCTGCATTCATTGTGTAATCACTGCTGATGTGGGCTTTGCTACTGATTGTGCCAAGTAAAATGTGACGTGGTTTGTAAAGTCTTAGGACATAAAAGTGCTGCTATTGTTTGTGGGTGTGTTGGATACAGAGAGAGCATGAAAATGACAGGCAGGAAAGGAAACAAGGCCGTTGTTACTGGAGGAGAAAGTGGGAGAGGCCACCAAGGGCTTTTATCATATCGGCAGAGTTTAATCCATTTGATTTGATAGTGGGCACAGGGGAGTTTATTTTTGGACACACACACACACACACACACATATATTTGGTTTTACGAGACAGGGTTTCTCTGTATTGTTTTGGAGGCTGTCGGTCCAGCCCGGCCTCGAACTCACAGAGATCCGCCTGCCTCTGCCTCCCGAGTGCTGGGATTAAATATATTTTTATTCATGAAATATTCTATTTAAGAAGAATACCATTAGGACTGCACTTCTGACTCAGTTAGCAAAGTGTTGCTTAGCATGCCCTGGGTTCGGTTCCCAGTATTGTATAAACCAGGCATGGGGTACAACCTGTCACCCCAATGCTCTGAAAGTATAGGAAGATCTGAAGTTCAAGATCATTCCAGTTTGAGACGCTACCACAATAAGATAAATAAAGAAACAATGGCTTACATTCATATCAAGTTGAGGCAGGCAGGGGGTAGCGCACACCTTTAGTCTCAGCACTCAGGAGGCAGAGACGGGCAGATCTCTGTGAGTGCCGGACAGCCAAGGCCACACACACACGGGGGGCGGGGAGAGTAGGTTGAATCGGTAGAGTAATAAGACAGTCTTTTTTTATATATACATTATAATCTGGTTTTCCCTCCCCTAATTCCTCCCAGCTCCTCCTCACCTACCCACACCCTTCTTTCTCTCATTAGGCATTCTTTTTTTTTTTTTTTTTTTTTTTTTTTTTTTGGTTTTTCGAGACAGGGTTTCTCTGTGGCTTTGGAGGCTGTCCTGGAACTCACTCTGTAGACCAGGCTGGCCTCGAACTCACAGAGATCCACCTGCCTCTGCCTCCCGAGTGCTGGGATTAAAGGCGTGCGCCACCAACGCCCGGCTTCATTAGGCATTCTTAAACTAATAAATGGGATACTTGAAATTCAAACATACTTAAACACTTAAAAGAATTTTCCTAGCAACATACATAGAAAACAAATCAGCAGGACTTGATTTTTGAAATTCCTTCTCAAAGTCATAATGCTTAATTAGGCTTATTATTTATTCAGTTACCCGAATGCCTCACATGGACTTAAAAGTTAATATACTTTCCCTGTGGCCTTCTTTTGCACATACCAACCTATCTAAATGTATTTGACATAAAACTGTTAAGTTTATTTAGTTTCTAATTTTGGTATCTTTTTTTTCTTCTGTGAAACTGAATTAGTCCAATATGATACAATTGTAAAGAAAAACTATCCACGTATCGTATCGTCCTTAGAGATGGGATATTGTTTCAGTTTACACCGGAATGCCAATATGATACAATTGTAAAGAAAAACTATCCACGTATCGTCCTTAGAGATGGGATATTGTTTCAGTTTACACCGGAATGTCATGTGTTCTGTGACAGTGTCGTTCTGCAAGGCTGAAAAGCCTGTTCAGTGACCCGTTCTTCATTCTGCTCCTGGCACTTCCGCACCCCAAGGAAAGAGATGTGGGTGATGACACAGTTTACTGCCACCACAATAAGCAAGCTTTGGGCAGTTTTATATAGTCCTTTGACTGTGTCACACTTCACTCATTTGCCCCTGCCTCTGATAGATGTAAAGGTCAAGGCTGACTCCAGCAGCAGTGCCTTCAGCCCTGTAGAGTACATCTATCCCAGCGTAACTGCGGTACGCTGTAGAGATGTCTCAGGACCCACACCACAGCGCTGCTTCACTTAGTTTTTTACCTTGTTCAAACGTTAGTACTAAACATAATTTTCCTTTCTAAAAGACAGAAATAACAAATGGCCCCCAAAACCTGTGGTGGATTCCACACCGCCCAATTTAAAAAGTGAATTTATTCATACATACGTTGGTGCTTCATTGCTATCGGGGAGCACTTGCCCCTTGGTTCTGCTCTTAACTACCACGGTAAATGAGAACATGCAGTGCCTGCGTGCAACACACACAAGCACTGGGGAGGCTGCTTCTCCCTATGTGCCTTCTTTGCTGTTGGCCTCCAGCTCTGTGAAAACGGCAAACCTTGCTTCTTAGAGAACTGTGGTAAGAGACAAAAGTGAACCCTGGGAGCATTTTGAGTCACCATCCTGAATCTGCTCGTCACTGTAAAGCCAGTCTGTGTCCCTGCTGTAAGTATGTATCATTACTTGTTCAAGAGCTATTGGGAGAATGAGATCCTTCTCATTTTCTACACATTGCTTTTAGGTGACGATTACTAGGAAGCACCTATCAATTCCAAGGCTCTCGCTTTTTTTCAGTCGGGGGTGCTGGTCCCACATCTGTCCATTCAAGCAGTGCTACGTATTTTATTCTTAGCACAGTTTTCCATCTACTTTGACCTTTATCTGACTTTTAAGGAACAGAATATAAAAGATTTTTTTAAGTAAGTTGTAAGTAAGGTGCTATTATTTATTATTTTTAGGTTTATTCTAGCTCAGATTCTTTGATTCATCAAAACATACTAGGTGCATGTTAAATATTGTACAGAATTATTTCTGAAAGGTTAATCTAAGTCATATCAACAACACTCAGTAAGACAAGCCTCATTTAGGTTTGAAAACTGGACTTAGGTACAGATTGGGAACGGTTGAGGAAGTCCAAATGGGAGGTAATGTCTCTAAACCCATACTTTTCTTGTCATTTCAAAAAATATCTTGGTTCTTTTCATGCATCTCCATACTAGAAAAGTGTGATTTTATGCAATCTAAATTTAAAGAAAAGCATGGCTGATACTCACTTGTATGTGGTGTAAGCTTTCATTGGGGAAGACCGTGTTTAAGAAAAGTACATTGGTTTGCATTGGTGATACGCCCTCTAGAAGGCCAAAGCATAGCTGGTCACCTCAGATTTTATTATATTGCTAGGCATGCTTGTTTGACTCTCAAAAAATAGATCCTGATTATGATAAAATGCTAAGCACATGTTAGGTGTCTTACATATTGTTTTTTCATGCATTTTTTGTATTCACGTGTTCAAGCATACTCCATTGCCTTCTCCATCCTAGTATCTCTGTGATGCATTCTTTTACTAGTATTCAAGACAAGTAAACAGATGTGTTATCTAGAATGGGTTCTCAGTCCCTATGATACATGAGCATGTGGAGAAATGAATTACTGGTCTTACAAGTATTTTTCTTTTTAATATAGTAGGAGGAACATGTAATAGAAAACAGAAGAAGCTGACAACAGCACACTAAGAATAACTCAGTCATCTGCACATATGTTTATTTACATGTGGCCTCACATGTTAATTGTCACTTTAATGGCCAACTAGACTTATACTCTGGTCTTCAGGTATTTTCGTTA